AGATCAAGTGACTACAGAGGACCCCTACCACTTCTACTAGGAAAGGGGAACATAGCGAGGACAGACTGCAGAGAGCCAGATGGCAAAGGGCAGCAGGCGTGAGCTGCATGTGTAAATTGACCTGCTGGTCTCAGAAAGCCAGGTTACTGATGAAGGAATCAATGCCACCTGGGCGCTGAGAACTGGGTTAGAAGACTGACCGATGCTGAGTTGTTGCCTACTTCCACAGCAGTCTCCCTAACGGCAGGGTGAGTAAAACTATCAGATCCTAGTGAGAGAGGGTAATTCTTGTGAGAAGAACGGATTTTGATAGAGAAGACAGAAGTAGTCTTATCTGTGTTACAAAAACAACTTGTATATTAATACTAAAAGCAAGGTACAATTTTTCCAAACAGGCTGTGTGGTCTGCCTAATATCATCTGCCTAATACAAAAACAATTTTTAAGCATCTAAATTCCTGTGCACTGTTTATATCACTTGTCTATTTTTGCATTTCCTTCCTCTCAAGTAATGAAAAAAGTCTATTTAGTTTGACTGCTTTCTAAAATGTTTGTATAGTATGAAGGAAACTAGACCTATAATGAAATAACAAAAACCTGCAAAGATATAATATTATTCACGTCTCACAACCATATTTTACATTTCTGTGTTGCTTAGTGATGTCAGAAAACTGAGAGAAAAGGAATCAAAGTAAACTAAAGAGACAGCAAAGCAGTCCACAGGAAATTGGAGAAAGATGACAGTCAGGATACTGCATGACTCTGCAGTGTCAACAAATAATTATCATGCAGCAATTGTATTTGAGTATAACTGTTTCATGTCCTAGAATCAGGTTGTTGTTTTTTTTCAGGTCCTAGTGCACTGCATGTTTGGGCTGCATGGGAATGACTTCTTGTTTAAAAAAATACTTGAGTGTTTGTGGGAAATAATAAAAATCAACTGGGCAAACTCAAGTCTAGCAGTGTGTGAGCACATAAATCACAGAAGTGCAGCACTCCTATTGAGAGAAGGAAGCACATGAGGTATGAAAAGGATGGATAATACAGAAAAAATTAGGTGTGGAATGCTAACAGCTGGTATAAGCCTGCTGAGAAACTAACCAAAATGACACTATTCTTCAATGCCACTCTCTAAAGTTTTCCAGGCAAGTCAAAATTTGTTCTTTGATTCTCTTACTTCTATAAGGAAACTCTGTAGTAGATACAGATGTTACGTGTTAATTTTTGAATACCAATGCAGAAGTTCATACATGACAGGCTGTAGTCCTTCCTATCAGCTCTATCAGTGCTGTGCAGAGGACAAACATTCAATTCCTCAAGTTACTGTGTATGTGAAATTTAGGTTCTTTCCACTATGGAATGAAAGCAAAGCATTTCTGCAAAAAGAAATTGTGTCAGCTGAGTCATTTGGTTGCATATAGCTGGTTAGAACACTGGCTTGGTACACAGAGGAACCACGTTCAAATCCTGCTTTGCTTAAATCAGAGAACAGTTTTTCATCCCAAGTCAATGCAAATAAGGTTGAGCAGGGTCTGAACCCACAGCAGCCAATATCATAAACACCAAAGTAAATCTCTTTCTCAGAACATGCCTGACAAACTGTTGCAACTGACAGGTTACTATAAAACATTCACTTCAAAAACTAGGTCTGTAAAATGAAATGTTTCTGAAAATGTTCTGGTCAGTTCTATGGCAAGGGTCAGAAATTACACAAAAACCAGTATAAATGAGTGGAAATCAGTTCTAATTTGTAACAGAACAGTTACAAATTCAGTGCACGTAAACCACTTTCAAAATAGCCAAAACTGGTTTAAGATAAACCTGGATGGACGTAGTATCAGACTTAATTGATTTAGGTTAAATTGGTTTATTAAACTTCTGTCCCAGATCCCCTCCAGATTCAAGTTTACTCACAGTCCCTCAGCATCCCAGAATGCTTTGCAGGGTGGGCAGGCTAGCTTTGGACCAATCTGTCTGCTCCAGCAGAGCAGGAGGCATGCCCTACTGCCCCCTGGCTTCTGACCTGGGCCACTGCAAGCGTGTGGCTGCATTTCTGGAATGAAAAGCAAATGTCTGTTCACTTACTTATGGTTCGATCTGTGCAGCTTAGACCACCCTGTGAAGATTGAACTGATTCAGCTTTGGGCTTTTTGAGCATCAATACAGAACTGGGTTTGATTCTGGTCTCTGGTCCAAATGTCTTCAAGGAACTGTGTGATAGCACTTCCGCCGCCACCCTAACACAAGGACTAGAAGTGCTGGAGGTAATAAAAAGATCTGGGAATTTTCTGAGAGACCATTGATTTATAAAGACCAGAAAAGTTTGTGGGAATAGACCACTTGAGATCTACTGATTTGAATCTTCTGATTCAAACCATTTTGAGGAAAAAAAATCCACTTAAAATTGCTTGTCATTTTACTTTTAAATTGTAGTTAAATTATAATAAAACATTAAACATTGAGTTCTGATAACAATTAAAAGTTGTTAGAATTAAATTATTCAATTGGCCTGGCGCACAATTTTTTTCTGGGTAACTATTGTCTGACAGTATTTTGCAATTTCAACTTTTTCATCTCAATTTAGGATAGGTAACATTTTCAGGGAATTGGAAAATTATTTCCTACCCACCTCTGATATACTTCTCTTTGGTGTAATAATATGTAGTAAGAAATTTCAAATATATTGCATTGTACCTTCATATTTTTATGAAAAAATATCCTCAGCTTAAGCTTTGACAAGTCTTTCTAACCTATTGAAAGAGATGGTTTGATAGAAATAAGACTGCAGGGGTCACTTCATTTGCAAACAAATACTATATACTTTGACAATCCTTTGCATGCTCATTTTGATTTAAAATTTCAACTCATAAGTTAAATTATGCAAAGGGGACAGAATGTTTTGCATTTAGTTCATGACTCTGCCACTGAGGGCACACCCAGACATGCATAGATGTTTGGTTCCCCAGGGCCAAGTAGCAGTGGCACACCTTACACTACAGCTACTTGTACCCGGGAATGGCTGTGCCATGCACAATTTGGCTTGTGGCAAGTTACCCTGGTGGGTGGGGTAGAGGAGGCTGGGGCCAACACAGTGCTATCCCCAGCAGCCTTAGCTGGGGTCCTGGGAGCCTCCTGGGGCCGCAGCCACAGTGATTCTACCATGTGGAGGAGCCTGGCCGGCAGCTGCAGCACAACTCCAAGTGGCCCAGCTCTGCTTTCCAGAAGCTCCTGCTGTCTGAGTGTGCACTGTGCCATTTTCTTTTTCCTGCAGTTTTTTTTTGACCCCTGGATACCTGCAGAAAAAATAAACCAGCGCAGTGCGTGCTCGGGCAGCATGCTCTTGCAGTGCCGTGAACACCGGACTGTGCAGTATGGGGCACTGCAAACGTGTTTGCAGTGCCCCATACTGCACAACCACGCTTGTCTGGACATTCCCTGATTTCCCGTGTGACCTTTGACAACTCACGTAATCTCTTCATGCCTGGGTTTTCCCCCTTTAAAATGAGGTAATATAATTTCTAATTGCTCTTTGCCTGCTTTATCTATTTCAATTATAACCTTTGCTTATAGATGGTACCAAACACTTTATCTCCGAAATCATTTCTGTGCATTACTGTAATAACAATAACAAATCAATCCATCTACAACTTCTAAAACAAAATACAATCTATAAGGAATTCAAACTTCTTGATCTCCACATACTGCATATTCTTTGTTCGTTTGAACTTCCATTAACTTCAGTAGGACTTGGGGTACCATATGAATGAAAAAAGATATACTTTATTGATCTGTGTTTTGGATAAAAGAGGTTCACAGTGTGCTGTAAACAGATGTTGCACTTTTCTGGGAGAAAGCCTTTTATGCCAGAGTCCTACAGGTGTTCACACCCATTGTCCCACTTCCAGTACATGTGACATATACCAGATAAAATGTGCTAACAGCTTTTCCTGGGTGTCTTAACTGCAATCCATTCTAGAAACACACCTGTCAAGCTGTGTGCTGTCCCTGGCCACCTACTAGCAGAGGAGCAGCAATACAGCTTGGAAAGTCTACCTCTGTAAAAGGCTGTGCTGCTCCTATTTTGATCTAAGTCATGACCTGGGACAATCAGAGCCACTTTAAATTAAACGCATTTTTACTGCTACATGGTGGCTGAGTCAAAACTACTGGGCTAGTGTTTTTCTAACTATTAGGCATGTAAGTGAACATAGGTGCCTGACTGCAATTCTATTCTACTCTGCTGCTCGAGTCCCTTGAAGACAGTTAATGCAAAAAAGTAAGTGCATTTCTTTCCTCCTCCTCATTACTTTTTTGTCACTCGCAGTCTTACAGCTGAGATGACTGCATGCTACATAAGTAGATACCCTAATGGATTTTCAAGACTTGAACAGCGGGGGATAGAATCAAACTTAGGTATCCAAGTCCACTTATATGCCCAATAAAGCCAAAGGGAGAGCAGGGTGGCATTTTAAAGGCTAACTGGTTCAAAATAGGTAGAATAGAAATTGGCCGTAAGAACTGTGGATTCCTTCATTGTGGTGTTGCAGTGCTAACCCTGGAAGGCATCAGGGCTCACTGTTGTACCCTAATGTGAAGCTAGAATGGTGGCTACTACAGAATATTCATAGCTATGTTTCTCTGAAAGACTTTGAGCTGTGTCTGGTCACCAACTGGTGTTGTTATGCAAGTGTCCTGCCTGGTTTAGCCTAAAGTATTAAATTTTTCTGGGTGCTGCTATTTCTCTTGTCCATAAGCACAACAGCCAGACATTCCTAATCTAAGTGAAATTTTGATTTTTCAACTTGGAACCTATTTCTTTTCTTTTCCAGATTCTGGGGTGGTTTGTGATAGTCGCCACGGCTCTTTTATCTCTGTTAACTACATGCTGTGCCAGTTGCCAGTCCAAAATCAGCCACCTCCAAATGAAGTTCTGGAGGATCTACATAGAGAAGGAGAAAGAACAATTGGATCAAATTTTTCAGCTCTACGCCACCAAGCTCAGTGAACGAAACCTGAAGAGTTTTTTTGAGACCAAAGAACCAGAAGCCTTTCCCATGCCAACATTTCAGGCATGGGAAGACGCTTCTCAGCTTTATTCTTTTAACAGTAGTGAACAGCATTACAGCACCATTCATAGACTGGTTGAAGATGGCCAAAAAGATATCAGAGAGGAAAGAGAGACCATGCTGGATTTTGTAGATGGACGAGAAATCCCATAGTTGATGGCTGTTTTCAGCCTTTTTAATAGCTTGCCAACGTTGCATATTTTTATTTGTTTTAATACTTCTATTTTGTTAATATTGGGATCTATTCCTCTGCGGTTATTTTCTTTTTCCCCAATTCCTCTTTCTAATTATATGCCGGTTTAAGAAATACAGTCAAATATAATTTCTGTGCTTCAGAGTCCTAATACAAAACTCACTGGTGTCAGTGACAATAATTCCATTAACTTTAATGGGTTTTTCATCAGACACTAAAAACATAAAGGACTCAGCATAGATTTCCATGAGCTAGCTTGTGCAACAGACAAAGGGGACAATTTTCTGTGTAAAATATATAGCATATAGGTATCACACAAATAAAGGGATTATTGTAAGCTCATATATTTTAATAATATGTTATTGTTATAACATGTATTTTAATAGTGCATTGTTTCCCACTGGAAATCTGGGAAGCTTCCCTTGCTATGGCACGAGGGTTCCCATTTATAGCCATGTCTGATTCTCAGATGCTAGGAATTAAATCTGTTGCTGCTCTAAGACTGCAAGATGTGGTTTGTCTGGGACTTCAGCCAGCATACGATCAACAGTCTGAAAGGAAATACCATATTTTGAGAGAAAAAAGGAAATGCTTTTGTATTGGGGTAATTTGTTTAAGTTATACTAGTGTCTAGCAAGCAGCTCACAATTTTTAGAATCAGCTTGGGCAGAGATGAATTTGCAGGCAGAGTGCAGGTGACATGACCATAGAACCAAGGTCTGTGAAAAATGTATTTTATCACATGACCCTGTAGTTTATCACAAACCTGTGAGATTCATCCCATGCATGCTGCCACAAAGTTTTATAGCTCCAGGTTTTTAAGACATTAAAAAATGGTAAAGGCAGCTACTAAGCTCCTTTGGGGTAAATCCTTTGGGTAACTGGCAGACTTCTCCATAGCTTTTTACCATGAATCTGCCTGACTGTATATCTACACAGATCAAAAGTTATTAAATCAGATTATTTTAAAAATGCGCTAATGTCCTATATCCTTTTAATCTATTTACAGCAAATGTATTCACTGTGCTCACAGCAAAAAGATGCCTATTATTTGTTTGTTTTATTTCCTCTGCTATTATATCCAGGAGTGTATACATGCAAGAGATCTATTTGGGATCCATTTAGGATTTTTGTTTATAATTGTGGAGTAGAAATTAGAAAATTAGAATACTTGTTGGGTTAATAATCTTTCACATCAGTTTTTCAATTTTGGGGCAGAACTGAAATTGATTATCCTCATCTTGTGTGAAGACCCATTATGTGCCTGTCCTTTATTGGCAATATTCACTGGTACCACCAATAGTGGGAAAAGCTAAGGATGCCCCATCACTCAGGAAGCAAAGCCACATGCCCAGGCATACTAGACACTCAGCTAAAGTAGAGCTGGCATTCACATTTAGGCCTTAATGAGAGCTGGCATTCACATTTAGGCCTTTCAGTACTTCATTGTTTAGGACTAAATTCTATAGGCATAAAGAATGTTGTTAAAGGGATGCAATCTTCAATGAATTACAGTGTAAATAATATAGTCCTAGCAAAATATGCAAAACAATTACTGTACATCATGGTCTTTTAGCCTTTCTCAGGTGTAGAGTCAAATGAATACTGCAGAAAATTATGAAAGAAGAAATGCTCATTCATACAACAACTACAAATTCATTTTGATACTTATGTTTTATTTACTTTCCATAAACATTCATGCAGTCATGTTTACTGGCCAAAATACTCATTGAAAGAGAAATTTTGAGACACCTGTATGGAAGCATATGCCAAAAGTATACCTATTTTTCAGGGTATTTTTAATAGAAATAGGAAAGGGTTAGTGCTATTGTACAAGACATTGTAAGACCCCATTTGTGTGCTTGCCATCTATGTACTAAAAAAAGAGGAAGTTAAACTGCAACACCTGAAAGAAAGGATTATTAGGATGAATACAGGAAACTATATTCTGAGAGGAGACTATTAGAGCCTGAGCTGTTTAGCTTAGTAAAACAAAGTTTCAGAAGGATATGATTACTCTTTATAGATACACTTGAGTTTTTTTTCCCTCTCTCTCTTTGTGTGGGTTTTTTCATTTTCATTTTGTGGTGAATAATTCCTGATGAGGAAAAAGAGGCATACATTCATTTAATGAATTATTTGCTGAAAACAGTTGACTTAGTTCTATTCAATCTTTCCTCAAGGAAAACACCCATTTTTACTGATGGGAGTTTTGCATTAGTAAATACAACAGGCTACAGACCTAATGGTCATAGTCAGATTAGAAACCCAAGGTGAAACAAATCTTTGTTCAAATTTTAGCAGCTTTTGTCTTCTGGATGTTCTGTAAGCTGAGTACTGAATAATCCATACCCCCCATATACATGCACAATGTGGAATAAGACAGATATGCAGGTATGCACTAAAGAAATCAGTACTGGCCCTCATTCAGGTATCTTTATTCCAGATGGCTTCATAGATTCACACAATTTAAAGCTAAAAGAGGCCAGGCCAGACTTTATACAAAAGATGGTCACTTCCACCAGTGCCCCTGCCAGGCACTCTTTCAAATTGCAGGTATATAGATGCCTGCTCTCAGAAGAGGATTCTAGGCTTTGGATCCCAGCTGGATGAAGGCACCTCCATGGAGATCTGACTCAGGGACCTAAGCTTCTTCCGGTTGGCTGATCTCGTACGGCGAGCTTTAAACTAGACTC